TCGAGCACCTGCCACCGCCCTTGCAGAGTTCTGGGAGCTGGGTGTGTGCAAAGCCTCCCGCCAGACTTAGGAACCTTAGCAGAAATTGGAGTGCCATTGACAGTCCTCCCCTGGGATTAGTCACCCGGGCAGGTGCTCCCCTCCCAGGGACCCACACTGGTGCAGGTGTTCCTGTTTACCAGCAGAGGTAGACACCTGATCCCAGTGGCTTAGCAGAGGCATCCTGTGACCTCAGGGGGGAGCCAGTGTCAAGCTACTATGTCAGCCCTTCTCCAAACTCTGAGCTACCTACCTCTGGACATTTTTCAATTATGTAAGCCAATAAATTACCTTTCCAGTGTAAACCAATCGGAGCTGGACTTTGTCCTTCTCGCAACCAACGCCCTAACTTGTGCAGAACGTAGTGCCAGGGAGTGGGCTGTTGCTAGTGACAGACTCTAAAATATCAAAATGACTGAATTGACTTGGGGGAGGAGGCGGTGAGGAGGACCCCCGTCTCTTGTGGGGAGGAATTTGGGGATCTTTGCTTATGTTGTGAATTACTGTGGTAGGCTGAATAATGGCCCCCAAAGATATTCAAGTCCTAATCCTGGCACCTGCAAATGTTACCTTAAGTGGCCAAAGGGAGTTTGCAGATTTGACTAAGCTAAGGCCCCTGAGATGGGTAGATCATCTGTGCATTACTCGCTGGGCCGGCTGTAAGCACAGGGCCCTTGAGAGGGGGATCTGGGAGGAGTCAGAAGGACAGAAGATGATGTGATGTGGGCAGCAGAGATTGGAGTGATGAGCTTTCAAGACAGAGGAAGGGGACTATGGACTACAGGATGCAGGCAGGCTCTAGAAGCCGGAAAACACAATACACTCACTCTCTCTAGAAGGAACTAGCTTTGCTGATACCTCGACTTTATCCTAGTGATGCTGATTTTGGACTTCTGACCTCCAGATCTGTAGGAGAGGAAATCAGTGTTGTTTTCAGCCACTCAGTCTGCAATACTTGGCTAATAGCAGCCACAGGACACTACTACAGACATAACTGTCAGCTTTTTACCTTGGGGCGCAGGCTCAGGGCCTACAGAGAGTGCAGCGCCCCAAAACTTAGCAGGGAGACTTCACCATGCAGAAGTGTGGTGGCTCAGTCTGTAAGGTCCTACGAGAGACATCCTGAGGCTGAAACTGGCCCATCTGAAAGCACAGAAGATAGAAAGCACAGCTTTGCTTTCTGCCCTTCCAATGTGGCCAGAAATCAGATCTTCCGCAGCTTAGCAGAGATAAAGAAAGCAACACCTTTGTCCCCAGCGAGGAGGTGGTGACTCAGCAAGAGAAACCCCTGGGGCACAGCCCTTGCCCCAGGTCCTCCTCAAGCCTCCCCAGACACAGGGTCTCCCCAACACAGGACACGCCCTCTTGTGGCAGGCAGCTGGGATGCAGTGTGCCCCAAGTGGCACAGACGGTTTCAGAGGCTTCTCTTTCCAACGTCCCCAAGGCAGAGACCATTAAACTAAAGATGGATGGGGATATTTAGGCAGAGTATGGAGTCCTAATGCTAGAAGACAGAGATTTCTAGTTTAAATTCTACCAATAAGATAAGAGTTCCTAGCCCTTGGAATCTACCAGAAACGAATTGACTACAGCTTGTTAAAACTAAGATAGCTGTACTGCTAGAGAAATCGCAAGCTTGGGTGGCCACAGATTGGGCCCCGGGATAACTGGTCCCGAGGCCTCCAGACACCTCCATCAGGAATTGAGCTTCCAGAGGCTTCCAGGAAGGACATCTCCCAAGCAAGTCCCAGCTCAGAAGTGGCAGTGGACAGGGCGAAAAAAGTGGTAGAGGCCGACCAAGGGTCCAGGGGGCATCATCTCTCTGTCCAGAATAGGACCCCCTTCCCCCTCTTCAAAGCAGGAGTTTTTATGCTAAGCAGACAACTCAGTCTGAGGTCGTTAGGCCACAAGGAGGCTGTATCTGGCCCCAACAGGGAGGGTGTCACATCCCTCAGATGTGCAGGACCTCCGTCGGAGTGAGACCTCCACCCACTGGCTCCCTGTGGGGTGTGGTCAACGTGGAGGCGAAGGGCATATACACATGCGGGGCAACTCGAGGGGTGACAGTGTAGGGAGCCAGAGACCTCTCCAACCCCCTCAGCTCTCAGCGGGCTCTTTGGCTGGGTCTAGAAACCAAATGGACATCAGGCAGATAGGATGGACGAGAGGAAAGCACATGTTTTCTTAGTTTTGCAAGTGCATGGGGGTCTTCATGAGACACTGGAGTCCAAAGGAGTGGCCACAAAGCAAGATGTTTCATGTTTAGGTCGACAGTAATATATTTGACAAGAAACGACAGAACAAAGAAAACTTGGGTAGGAGAAGTAAATGTCCTCAGGGCATCCCTAGGAGAGGGTTACTTGTCAAGAGTGTTTACCCAGGTCCACTGCAGCCTCCAATCCCAAGCCTCTGGTGGTAGGGGCGATTTTCTTGTCCTGGCACAAGAGGGCGCCCCTCCCAGAGGAATCTTTAATGCTTGCTGCGTGCAGGAAGGGGCAGGTCAGCTTGCCCTTTCTGAAACTTCAATTTCTCCAATGTTTTCAACTAGAAATAATCAATTTACTAGTCTGGCATGTCCTTCACCTGCATTTTACCTGGGATGGCACCTGCTCAGCATACTTGTCCCTCTTCTTTCTGTCCGTTTCCACCCCTCCCTATGTGTTGCACTAGTGCTGGAGATAGCCCTACAGCTCACAGTCACAGTCCTTTCCCCAGTCACAGTGATGGGCTTGTGACTGGCTGGGAGGTCTGGGACTCTCCCTTGTGGCTGTGAAGCAGGAAGCCCCCAGCCCAGCTGGCAGGGGTGGGCATTGGAGAGTTGAGGGCCTGAGTGTCCCTTACCTGAGTTCTACCCTTCTCTGGACTTTGTAGTTACAAGAGCCAAATCATCCCTTTTACTGTTCAGTCAGAGCAAGTTATATCAACTGCAATGCCCAAGCAGAGGCATCCTGATCTGAACAACTGTCGCATTTAAAAAGGCAATCTGCAGCCAGGGTTTTCAAGAGTCCTGTGTTGCTTAACAAGAGGAATACGGTCTGAGAAATGCATCGTTAAGCAATCCTGTTGTTGTTTGATCAGTGTAATCACACGATTGTATAGTCTACTACACACCTAGGCTATGTGGTCTAGCATATTGCTCTGAGGCTACAACCTGTTCAGTACATTACTGCACTGTATACTGTAGACAGCTGTAACACAATGATAAGTATCTGTGTATTTAAACAGAGAAAAGGTACAGTAAAAATCCAGTATGGGCCCATTGTCACATATGTGGCCTCTTGTTTACCAAGACATCATATAGCGGGCATGACTTGTACTCACATTTTTGCCCTGGCCTTTTCCACCTTTCAAGCTTCCTCATCCATCTCCTTCCAGGTGTCTTGGCTCTGGCCATGCTGTACTGTTCAGGGTTTCCTGACCCTCCATGCTCCCTCACGAGCTCATGTCTGTGTACTACCTTCCCTCTGCCAAAAATGCCCTCCAAGCCAAAGCAGTTCAACAGATACTTTCTGGGGGCCAGGCACAGCCAGGTTGCTTGAGTCACTGCTGAACTAAGTAGACATGTCTGTGTCCAAAACCAATCTTAAACTTATGCTCACTCCTCATCTTTATGTTTCTGTAGTGGTCCTAGCAATCCTTGCTTAGCTGGATCTTCCTGAGCTCTACCAGGAGAGGACCCCAGAAGAGTCCTTAGGGATCCACTAGGTTTTACCAGGAGTTCTCTGGAGACTCCCTGAGGCTGTGTAAGGACAAGATCCCAGGAGAGTTCCAGAAACTATGCTGCAAAGGAGTGCTGAGGATCCACTGAGGTCGTGTCTGGAAGGGATCACCAAAAATCCATTGAGAGTGCCCCATGGAGGAGATTCTGTGACAAAAGGGATCCCTGGAGAGTTCCTGTAGTTGTCATCCACATAAGAAGCATTTATGGAAGGCTCACTGTGTCAGGTGCTGAGGCTGTCACTGACAATGAGATTAGAATAAGACAGAGATGTCCCCTGGCAGTATCTTACAAGCTAAGTGTGGACACAGATATAATCAAAATGCAGTAAGTTAAATGTTGCAGGGTGTGTACAAGCAGTGGAAGGCTGTGCTCTTAGAGACAGAGTATAACACTTGATGTTATGAGAGCTGAGAGAGCCACTAACTCCCCTCTGTAACAAGAGGGTAGAGTGCTGAAGGTATGGTTGGCATGTAACTCTGATAATGCATGTAAGATACCTTTGTATAATACCTTGTATATAGCAGGTACTAAGTCAATCTTACCTATCATTAGTAAATGAAGAGGCACAGAAAACTCTTAATCAGAAAATAAGTATAATCACATTTTGTTCTAAAAGTGAACTGGCAGTGGTCTGCCGAGGAGCTCCCTCTATTACACTGAAGACCCAACCTGAATAGTCTCTGATCCTTCTGACTTTGATCTAATACCCACAGAAATATAATGTGATCCACCTATGTAATCTCACGTTTTCTGGCAGCTACAGTACAATAAAAATAAATTTGAAAAAAATAAGTTTAACAACACATTTTATTGAACCTAATATATCTACAATACTAACTTTCAATATATAGTTATTACTAAATTGCTAATTTTTCATACAAAAGTCTTTGGAATCCACGTTGCAAGGGCGCGATGGCCGTTGGGGGCTGCAACCCAGGCGACTTCCGCGTGCCGCCGTGCTCGACCGCTCTCCCTGGAAGCCTGGCCTAGTCCCCCTGCCCCTTGTTCCCTCGGGAGCGCTCCACGCCACTCTGCGGCCGCGCCCGTCCCCTCACTGCACGGCGAACACCCGTCCACCGGCATCTTCCGACCCCGCGCAGGGCCGGCAATGCAGCCTCGGCCGGGGATGTTTCGCCCTTCCGGGTCGCCCAGCCGTGGGTCGGGACGGCGTCTGGCTTCCTTTTGTTCTAGGGCCGGCTCCCAGAAAGCACTCAAGGAAAGAAACCAGAGTCACAAACGGAGCCTGGCGCGGTTTCGGAATTGCTGAGCTCGAGGCTCCAGCGGCTTCCCGGGAGTCCGCGGCCAGAAACCGAAGGCGGACCGCAGATCAAGCCCAACGACGCGCGCGGCTCCCGGCGTCGCCCTTTAATGCCGTCCGGCGCCCGGCGCAGTACGTCACACGCCGCCTGGCACGGAGGCGGGACTTCCGGGCGTGCGGAGGCACAACTTCCGGAGGGAGGCGGAAGAGCCTCCAGGTTGTACGCTCTGGAGTCCCGGGACCGCTGAGGGGCCGCTAGGGGTACAGGAAAGGGCGACTGAGAGCAGGCCGGCCGCACACAGGGTGTCTGTGCCGCGAGTCTGAGGGATGAGGAGGGGCCATGGCCAGCGACGGGGCCAGGAAGCAGTTCTGGAAGCGCAGCAACAGCAAGGTCCCAGGCAGGTGGGTGTGACAGGGAGGGCCAGGTTGGGGTCAGGGGTCAGGGGTCAGGTGGCTGCGTCTGCCTGCTGGGCTGCTGGGGGAGTCGGGGTCTGGGAGGGTAATTTGGGCGCTGAGGAGACTGCTGGGTGGTGTCAGGGGTGTTGGGGGGTCTGGAGGGTCCGAGCGTGGGGTCTGGGAGGTGACAGCGGCTGCACGTAGGAGAGCGGGAGGAGCTGCTGGCTAGTTTTTCCGGAGGCTGGCTGGCTTTCTTCTGAGACACTCCTAGGGACCCCGGGGAAACTGAAAGGAACTGACACGGGTCATGCTGAGAAGTTTGGTGAAGTCCGGAAACTGGCCGGGGCCAGACTGCCAGACTGAGATCGGTTTCTGCAGGGCGTGTGGTGGTTTTGACTCACTTGATTTGCATTCTTGTCTCTCTTGGGGGCTGCTGCTTTTACCTGGAGCGTGGAAGGTTAAAGGTTCCCTGTCAGTTTCCTTGCTTCCACTTTGTGGCCTGAAAACCAATTCCTCTCGTGTCAGCATCAGGAAGCAAACTAAAAAAAGTTTTTTTTTTTTTTTAAATTAAGTACCTGAAATGACCTGGGTGTACCCTGGAAGCTGTACAGGCTTGGCACTGAGCCCCAGCCAGAGCCCTAGGGAATGAGGAGACGTTACATAGAAAACACCTAGGATAAAATCAGCCACTGGTGAAACTCATTGGAGAAAAGCAAACTTCCAGATTTCAAAACATAGTTTGTTCTGTCTTGAAGCTGAAGTCTTAAGATACTGAAAAATAAGAATAGTGATATTAATATAACTCTAAGAATCATTCATAAGCACAGTAAAATGCTTTGTACTCATGTGTTTCATAATAAACACTATTGCTTAAGGGTTAAAATTGTAAACTTTGGAATTCACTGCGTCCAGTCAGAAAAGTTTACTTTTTAGAGTGATCTGGGTGTTGGCAGGAGTGAGTTACTAACTGCTAACAGTGACTTTGAGAATGAAGAGAGTAATCAAAGGTAGCCAAAGACCATAGTTTACTCTTGATTGTGCTTGATTTAAGAACAATAAGAAGTTTCATCAAAACCAGTGTCACGTTCCAAGATGAGGTGAAGATTCTGGAATGGTGGAGGATAGGATGTCCTACTAATGACAGGAACAAATGCTCTAGAGTGTACAGTCCAGGCAAAAGGAGCTACATGACAGTGTAACTTTTATGTGTTGCTTTTAGATCTTGCGGTTTTGATTCTTCATCAGGCTAAACTCTAATCAATTCTTAAGTAAACTGAAATGTAAGATTAATAGAGCTGCTGTGTGGAGTTACAACAGTGAATAAACTTTTGGACTGATGACTGTGGTTCTTGGTAATTTGTTCTTGCACTAGGTTGAATAGTGTTTCACCCCAAAATTCAAGTCCATTCAGAACCTGTGAATGTGACCTTATTTGAAGATAGGGTCCTTGCAGAAGTAATCAAGTTAAGATGAGGTCATTGTGGTTTAGAATGGGCTCTAATCTAATCCAATGACTGTTGTCTTTATAAGAAGGAAATTTGGACACAGAGAGACAGACGCCAGGAAGATGGCCCTGTGAAGACAGAAGAAGAGATTGGGACAATGCATTTACAAGCTGAGGAAAGCCAGAGATTGCTAGCAGCCACCAGCAACTAGAAGAGTCAAGGATAGATTAGGAAACTAATGCAGTCCCAATTTTCCTCTGTGAAATCCTGATTTACCAATGAGAGACTTTGACTTCGACGCTGTGCTGTGTCTTAGACACTTTTGAGAGCAGCTGCCATGTTACACTTAGAAAGTTGGAGTGGAGTCTTGGAGAATTATTAGAAGCCATCACTGAAGAGGGCAGGAAAAGAAAGGAAAGGTTGGGCCCACCAGAGAGGCCTGTACGGCCTCTGTGTTTCCTCTCTATCCTGTGGTGCTTGCCTCTAGCAGTGCTATTTCAGGTGACAGGCTGGAACTCTTCCTTGTAGGAGGAGTTGCAAAGGTATGCTCTTTTCTCTGTCAGTAATGATGATCACTAGCTGCATACTTAGTCTTCCCCTACATAAGCATGGTGCTAGCAGAGGTCCTAGCCAGGTTGCTGTGGTTTTGCCAGCTCTTTCAACTGTTTCCCATGATTGTTTTACTCTTTTCTGCGTGTGGTTCTCAACCCAAGGAAACTCAGGAGGAAGACTACACCCAGCACAAAATACAAGACTATTAAAGGACCTTTTAGGTAGCTCAACCCTTAGTAATTCCTTATGACAAAGAATAATAGCTGACATTCATTAAGCGCTCAGTATTTCCCCAGCACTGTTCTTGGTGCTCTACAGGTGTTATGTCTACCAGTATTTTGTAATTTGCAGAGCACATGCTTTTTCCTCCAGCCATACTCACTGAATTAGGCTTGGTTTAAAGCACCTTGGCTGTTTCCCCTGAAATGCTATGCTGAGAAGTGTAGTGTTTTTGCATACTGCATATGGCCCCGTGTAACCTGACTGCTGCTCCTGCATTTGGCTATGTCTTCCACCTGTCCCTGCTTTGAACTCCTCCCTCAGCAGTGCTGTTGGACTCGTAGGTTCCTTGTTACACCATGCTGTGTGATGCCCCTGTTACTGGAATGATCCTTTCCTCCCTTTGGCCTAGCTCACCTTCTTTTTTTCTTTTTCTTTTTTTGCTTTTCAAAATTCACCTCCAGCATACCTCCTGGAAAAGCTTTGTCTGTTTTTATGCAGTCTGAACTAAAGTATTACCCTTTTATGCATCAAACTCAGTATTGTTGATATGTGCTTGTTTTCTTCACTAGCGAGCTCTGCCAGTTTAGAGAATGTGCCTTATTCATCTTTGCATTGCTCGTACCGACAAGTGGTGGTCGATCCAAACTGTCTTTCAAGTTAGCCTGGAGAGAATAAATGATTTGGCCGAGGTTATACACTGGACGAGGTGGTCTTACTAGTGGACCCCTCTGTTCTGTGTACAGAGGGTTTTTGGTTTTCAGGTTGCAAGTCTGGCTGATGCCTTCTTAGAAATTTCTTTTATGGATGCACCAGGATGCGTGGTACTGTGGAAAGACTTAAGACTGGGAGTTGGGTTGTCCAGGTTTTAGCCTTCTCTTTCTAATAGTATCTGTGTGACATTAACCAAGTCATGTCACCCTGAGGGCCCTCGGTTTCTGTATTTGTTACATGAACAGGTTGTGGTACACCCAAGTGGCTATGGTGAACAGGGTGGGATTTGTTTGGCCCAGCCCGATTCTCTTTGGTGAGAAAAGAAGAGGCCTCTGGGACAAATTTTGTGAGTGTGATAATTTATTCATCCAGCAAATATGTATTGAACCCATACTATGGAGTGGGAGAGCAGGGTATAACTAAGGTAAGTAGAGAGTTAACTGTTGGAAGGCAATTGCTGTAAAAATGTAATGCAGGGGAGCGGGATGGATAAGTTCAGGGACAGGTGTGGTGGGGAGGGTTTCTTGGTGATAAGGTGGCCCTCACTGAGTGATAAGGGAGCCCCTCATTGAGAAGGTGGCATTTGAGGAAAGATTGGCAGGAGGTGAGGGACAGCTCCCCTGGGTAGCTGGAGAAAAGCAGTCCAGGCAGAGGGGCAAGCAGGTACACAGACCTGGGCCTGGGCGTGGGGCTGGTGTGTCTGAGGAGAGAGCAAGGGGCCAGTGTGGCTATAGCCCAGGGAGGGGAGAGTCCCAGCGCATCAGGACCCAAGGGTGGAGGGAGTAGGGCCTTGTGGTTGCAGTGAAGATGTGGACTGTTGTCCCCCCCCCTTTTTTTTAAATTTATTTTTTGAGTCAGGGTCTCACTCTGTTGCCCAGACTGGAGGGCAGTGACTCGATCACAGCTCACTGCAGCCTCGAACTCTTGGGCTCAAGGGATCCTCCTGCCTCAGCCTCCTGAGTAGCTGGGACTACAGGCATGTGCCACCATACCTGGCTAGTTTTTCTATTTTTTTGTAGAGGCAGGGTCTTGCTATGTTGCCTAGGCTGGTCTTGAACTCTTGGCCTCAAGTGATCTTCCTGTCTCAGCCTCCCAAAGTGCTGAGATTATAGGAGTGAGACACTGCCTTTGGCCTCTTTTATTCTGAGTGAATGGGAAGCCTTTGGAGGGTTTTGAGCAGAGATGTAGCATAGTCTGCCTTAGGTTTAACAGGATTACTCTGATAGACTGGTATCGGGTGGGGTGAAGGGCAGAAGCAGCGAGACCAGGTAGGGGGTGGCTGTAGCATCTAGGTGAGGATGGCATCCAGGTCATGGAGATGGTGAGAAGCAGTAGGTAGGGGATAAGAATCAGGGAAGGTTCCGTCTCTGGCTTTCAGGGCCTGTTCTTTCTTGGGCCATTGGCGTGCTCGGCTTGTGAAGGGCTTGCTTTCTGCAGTTGCAGTTGGAATTCTGGCCACACTTAACTTTAAATGCCAAGACCAAATCACAGCACACTGCTTTTGAGAACACAGACAGCCTTTTAGTGCAGATCTGATGTTTGCTATTTTAGCTCAGCTCTGCCTGGCAGGGTGTGCTCTGCTGACAGAAGGGTATGCAGGCAGCTGGGGTATGTGAAGTATGATATTTGAAAGTGGGATGGCAGCAAGAAAGGCCTAAATTGAGTATGGCAGGGCTGTGGGTTCTTTGGATAAAGCTCGAGCAGAGGAGGGTTCTCAGTGTCGCGGCTCTGACAGCTTTTAGCGTATACTGCCAGAGCCACTGGCATCTCTGAGCAAATGTGACAGTAGGCCCAACAGGCTACCATCCGTCCTCAGTTGAAGGAGAGGAGTTGATGGGGGATAATGAATGCATTCAGAAAACAGGTATGAGCCCCTTCCCTGAGCCAGGTACTGTGCTGAGTGCCGAACAAGCGGACGTGGCCCTCAGAGGTTCGAGGACCGTGCGAGGTGGGAGACATGTATGCCTGTGATGCAGGTGCAAGTGTGCAGAAGGCAGTAGTCTGGGGATGCTGGCAGGGTCGCAGAGTTCTGTGTGGGTAGAGTGGCCACATCTTCCTGGCTGTGGAGCAGGAGCC